TACTTTCAGTCCAAATCTCAGCTGTTGTTCTACTACAGGGACACGCAGAGGAAGTCTCTTTTAGAAAGACATTATATCCATTGTGAACACACACTTAACCAGCCAAAACCTCAACTGGTGTAAATGACAGTAGGCCTCACCAGAAGTCAACAGTGCCACACCAATTTACACCAGGTGAGGATATGCCCCTGTATATTTTATAACCATGTGTGTCTCCAAGATGCCCAAACCAACATGAAGCAAATTTGGGAAACAAATCCTTGCTCCCAGCCTGAAATGCTCCACATCAACTTCTTGCGGCTGTGGTTAACACCCAGAAAAGTGGGTTTGTAACAGACAGATGGGCACACTGTCGTAGTGGTGTTTGCAGGCAGAGTTATAATTATCTTCTCACATCCTGCACACTCTGTCACTGTGAGTCACTGCTTGAGAGACACACACAGACTAGAACAAATAGGAAGTCAGCAACTTTTAAAAACGCCTCTGCCACCCAAAGTAAAAAGGGCAGCTAAAGAGCTAGTCAGATTTTCTCTAACCGCCAAGAAAGCCCACTTTGCCACCCGAATCCCTGTAAATCACATCCTGACCTGCTGTGATCCCAAATGCAGCCTGACAGCTCATGGCAAAACAGTTTCAGTTTATTAATCGGAGGAGGTGGCATTGCTGATGGCAGAAGCAGTCAAGCAATTTTGACCTACTGGAGAAGAGTCACACTATAGCTTTTCACAGTGGCAGATTTCCCCCTCAACCGCTCTCTTTTCCCCTCCAAGCAGCAGTTTGCCACAGAATTTGGGTTGGAAAGCCACACGCCGCCTTCTCTCCCCTTCCCTCTCCCCCCAGTTTCTAACTAGAATCTGAGGAGGTCTTTGGCTGTGGCTCATCTCCCTGGGGAAATGGTGGAAGCACCATAGCTTGGGCCTTTCTCTAAACTTGGCCAGACAAAACACAAGGAAGCTGTTGAGTGCAATCCTTCATTTGCAGAGCAATGGGCTGGATGACCCAACAGGGCTTTTCATTAGTGTCTGTTTAAAGGGAAACGGACAGTCCACTGTCAACTAACGTACTTCACAGAGTAGTACAGATCGAAAAGGTTTATTCTGTTTTTTAAGTCTCAGGACAATGATATTTTCCAGACTACTAGCCAAACGACTGCTCAGGCTGGTGGTGCATCGGTCTCCAAAGAATAACATTGCTTAAAACAGTCTGAGAGCAGCTTTTTATCATTGATTTGACCTCTCTGAAAACCAGTTGCTACAGCCTAGGTGGGTTTTCCCCAAGCATACAAATTACCCAGAATGTCTTATTAACAGATGGAGACTTTCTCTGGGCTGAGTGAATGGATTAGGGGGAAAAGCCAAAATTAGTCAAAACTGCACCCTGAAGGCTATTAGCACAGCTCCTGGAAACGCTGCCGAGATTTTCTAACAGCCACCTGCGTCACTATACGCCAGTCAGTCCCTCTCTCACAAGTTTCTGGAAATTAGATTGCAAAAGTAAACTCTGGATTAACAGAAACAGCTCAGGGATGACCAGAAGTTTGCTTTTTAAATATTTCTGAAATACTCGCTGACTTGATGCATGCAGAGACTTCAGACAGAGGCCGGGGAGGAAGAGTAAGAAGTTAGAAATCTAAGTAAAGAAACAGACTCCAGCATCACAACTGTTTCCTACTTCACATACTCACGCCTTGGTAGCACTCATTGTTTTATCATTCTGAATAACAACTCCTGCAAAAATGACACTCACTTCAAAAAAACCAACAAACACCTGTTACTACCACCTGATATGATTAAAACCACCTGTCTTAGGGTTTTGTACTGCCACTCACCAGCATAGTAGCCGAGTGCCTTCCCCTTACGATAGATTGATGACACATGAAGAACATTAGGGACTTTATTATCTCTGGATATTCTCTGTTTCCGAGTTATGCTGGGAGGAGAAGAGGGAGGTTACGCTGAGGGGTGGCTGATGTGGAATAGATCATTCTACTAAAGAAAAGCTTTATCAAAGAGGAAGGATTTGCAGCATTTCCAAGAGTGCTCAGTTGCTTGATTCTAATCTCCGGAAGTTCCTTCCCCAGCTGGGTTGCCCTCATCTGAGGACAGCGTGGCCCTGGCTCTCGCACCACTGTGCTTTGTGAAGCGGACATTCTACCACATACGCTGCTTGTTTGTTCTGAGACATTTCCACTCCTCTTGCACAGTGCTATCTGATGGGTAACGAATAAAACACTAGTCTAATAAAACTCTAATAAAACACTAGTCTTTACCCCCGCCGCTCTCAGAACACTTCACAGACAAGCATCACTGTCCCCACTCAATAGTTAAGGAATCGGAGGCCCAGAGGCTGAGTTCTCACAGTGGTTCCGGGATGGACTCAGGAGCCAGGTCTGACTCCCAGTCCTGTACTCCATCCATGGGACCACAGCAGACTCCTTTTACAAACCTAACCCTCTTGACAAGGTCCTGTTAACAGGTGTGGTCCCATTCACCTAGCTAAAGGCAAGCCAAGCAAAGCGAATGTTTAGTAACAGCTGGCCTGCACTGATTTGATGCATTTCCCTGCTGCCTGGGGAAAATTTAAAAGAGCTACTCCCCCAGCAGCACTAGGCAGAAGTTGCTTGTTTTTCTACCCCCTAACCCTGTGTCTTGGGACAACAGAACATAAGAACGGCCACAGTGGATCAGACCAATGGTTCATCTAGCCCAGTATCCTGTCTTCCAGCACTGGCCAGAACCAGATGCATCAGAGGGAGTGAACAGGTCAATTATCAAGTGATCCATCCCCTGTCATCCAGTCCCAGCATCTGGCAGTCAGAGCTTTGGGGACACCCAGAGCATGAGGTTGTGTCCCTGATCATCTTGGTTAATGGCCACTGCTGGACCTGTCCTCCATGAACTTATCGGATTCTTTTCTGAACCCAGTTACATTTTTGGCCTCCACAACATCCCCTGGCAATGAGTTCCACAGGTGCCTAAGAGCAGAAAGCCAGGTTCACCTGGGCCACGAACACAAAGCATCTTGGAAAGTATGACACCTGATTTCATCCCACACTAAGCATTCAGGGCTTTGATACAAATTTGTTCTTCAGACATGCTGTTCAGGGTAGGGACCATGGTTTCTTACATGTCTCGAATGTGCCATGCACACCAGTGGTGATAGACAAGCCAGTTACTCTTCAAAAGATGATATACTATTGTGAGTGTTTGCATGCCACTGATTGCCATAGTACATAGGTGCCCGGTAGGCAGCTTTAGAGAGACCATACATAGGAATATAAATACACACAACCTAGCCAGCACTGCCATGTGGACACCCATGTTCCATCCTCTATGCCAGTGGCTCTCAACTTTTCCAGACTACTGTACCCCTTTCAGGAATCAGAGTTGTCTTGTGCACCCCAACTTTCACCTCACTTAAAAACTGCTTGCTTGCAGAATCAGACACAAAAATACAAAAAGGTCATAGAACACGGTTACTGAAAAATTGCTGACTTTTACCACATAATTAGAAGCTAAATCAATTGGAATATAAACGTACTCACATTTCAGCGTATAGCATCTAGAGCAGTGTATACAAGTCACTGCATGAAATTTTAGTTAGTACTGACTCCACTAGTGCATTTTATGTAGACTGTTGTAAAACCAGGCAAATATCTCGATGAGTCAATGAATCTGCTGGAAGACTCTCTGCATACCCCCGGGTGGGTACACGGACCCCTGGCTGAGAACCACTGATCTATGCTAACCTCTCACCCCTGGGAGCACCTCAGGTCACTAAACAAGGGCCCTTCAGGCTAAGACAGGAACATGATTGGGTTCCTGCCCAGTGCCTTCCAACTAGAAGGGTGGGGGTGCAGCCAGAAGGGTGGGGATGGGGCGGGGGGGATCTTTTCTTAAGGTCTCATCTGGCAGGAAGAAAGATGGTTGAAATGAAGAGGAAAGCTGGAGAGGTGGTGCCCCATATGGGTAGGTGGTGCCCCCTATGGGCAGGGACATTAAACCTGTCCTTATGCAAGGCACTGCATTTAGCTGTATGGAGTGGAAATCTATCCACTTCATGAAAGAACTTGTACAGATACAGACAGACATCATCTTCCTTGCCAAATGATATTTTTTCATGGTCTGTATGTATATATAAAATCTCCTCACTGTACTTTCCACTTTATGCATCCCATGAAGTGAGCTGTAGCTCAGGAAAGCTTATGCTCAAATAAATTGGTTAGTCTCTAAGGTGCCACAAGTCCTCCTTTTCTTCTTGCTGCTGGGGATGTACTTAGCGTCAAAATTAAGCAATTCAGGGACTGGTGGGTGGGGAAAAGAAGAGCTGAGACTGATCTGTGGTTTTTATATAGAGTGACACCCCCTCCTTCCCCCCATGGGTCGGCCTTGCCCCCTGTTTCTCTCCTGCTCCTCCGTTCCCCCCGTGGACCTGCCCGCGCTGCTCAGAGAGCGGACCCAGCCCTGGCAGAACACGTGCTGCGTGCAGTGACTGGCCAGTTCATCCTACAGGTCGAGTGCCCAGGGGGCTCTGCCCCAGTCTGGTCTCCTTCTCGAGCTCGCTCCCCCGCGCGTGCAGGTGAGTCGCAGCGAGCTTCCCACGCGGGATCGCCCACCGGCCGCGCGGAACGCGTAGCTCTCCGCTCTGCAAAGGGACGGGAAGCCCAAGAGCCCGGAGCGGACACAAAGTTTCTCCACGCTACGCTGGCGATTCCTCCCGTCCCAGCGCGACATACACCGGGGCTGGAAGGGTCGCCAGCCACGTCTTAAAAAAAAAAAAAAAAAAAACAACCGCACCGCAACATCACACATGCAACCCCCCCAAATCCAGCCTCCGCGCGCGGCAAGCAGCCCTCTCCTGGCAGCAGGGGGCTCGGACTTTCCCTAGGCTCTCCACTACGCGAGCCTCCCGAGGGAACTCCCGACCCACCCGGCCTCGCCTGGACCCCCAGCGGGCTCTGACAAACCGGGCGGGAGGGAGCGGGGCAGTTCCTTACTCACCGGCCAGGAGCGAGAGAGGCAGCAGCAGCCAGTACAGCGCCCCACACAGCGCCCGCGGCTCCATCCCGCCCCGCGACTTCGGCGGGGGTGGGGGGCAGAAAGAGCCCAGACTCCCCGTGGGTGCCCGCAGCCAGCCCCGCGGTCAGGCTGAGCCCAGGGGCCGCCCGCAGCGCATGGCGCTGGGCAAGCCCCGGCGGGCTCCGCGCGCAATCGTCCCTTGGTGCCGGGCAGCTCCCGCGGGGAAAGTCTCGGGCCCGGGCGCGGCGGGCTGGCCCCGCTCCTGCGGGAACTCCGCTCCGGGCAGATCAGCGGGGCCCGCTCCGAGCCCGCTCCCAGCTGCGGGGGGCGGAACAGCGCGGCATCGCGGAGCCCCCTTCCCGCGCTGCCCCGCGCAGGCTCGTGTGTAACCCGAGCAGCCTGGCCCCGGCGCTCCAGTGGAAAGTCTGATGCGGGGGAAGGAAGAAGGTGGATTTATCCGGGGGCCGAGCTCGGCGGGCTGGGCCCGGCTGCTCTCCCACGGGTCTTTATAGGCGCGGTCTCCTCCCTGCCCAGCCCCGGGCCGCTTCCCTTCAGCCCCCATGGGCTGGGCTGGGCTGGGCCGGGCCGGGCCGGTCGGGCTCACAGCCTGCCCGGGGGAGGCGCTGCGCGGGCGGGAGGCCTCCCGCTGTCCTGGCGCGGAGGGCTCATGGGGAAGCGACAGCTGCCCCCGGGGCCCGGCTTCTGCTCGTAGTGCCCACGAGCCCGGAGCAAGGGGCTCCCCCCACGCGTGGGTCCGGCCCGCTGGCAGCTCTGCCGCCCGGGGCGGGGCAGGGGCAGGGGCAGGCTGCTCGCTCTCGCCCTCCCGAGGCGCAGCCCTCCTTGCCGCGGGCCTGGCTCCGGGGGTCCTGGCTGGCCTCGGGGCTCGGATCCTGACCCCACCCCCGCAGCACGTGTGCAAGCTGCGGCCACAAGGCGCTTTGCGTCCAACTTGCGCTTTGCTGTGGCCTCCCCGGCCTGCGCCAGCGGGTCCCACTCCCTGCCCGTCCCCGGGCAGCCGCCGCGCTCAGCCGGGGAGCCAGCACCACCTAGCGCCGGTACCACGCTTGCTCCTCTTAGCGCCGGGCAGCCCGCGACACTCCGCAGCGCTGGGGGGCACCCAGCACCCACCCTGTGGCGTCCTTCCTGCCTGGGGTGGCCCCTGCCCGGTCGGAAAAGAGACAGGGCTGGCAGGGCTCTGCCAGGAGAGTGCGCGCCCGCTGCTGTATTTGGGGCTGCCTTGCGCAAGGAGGAGACTGCGGGCTGGGGGGTCTGGGGGGTCTGGGGGTTGGGACTGTGCAGTTAGTGGAGGGGAAGCTCTGGGAGACTCCTCTTATTGTTGAAGTGCGATCGGATCACAGCCTTGGTCTCTGCTGCCCTTTAGAAAAGGAGAAACCAACCTGAGAGGTGCCTTGTGCAAATTAACAGCAAATCACCTCTCCCCCTGCCAGACGAATCAGAGCCATATGCCAGGAGCCAGAAGCCTTAGCCAGAGCTCACCTGCCTTCCACCCTTTCCACCACAACTTCAACAATCAGCACCCATCCATCAAACTCCCCCTCCCGCACCCCCACCAACTTCCGGGGCACCCTGGTCAGCTCCAGCGATGGAACCCTAGAGACAACCGGTCACCACACCAACCTTTGCAGATTCAGTAGCCACCCCAAACACACCAAGAAATCGGTTATCTCCAGCCAACCCTCAGATACCACAGAATATGCTCCCAGGAGAAAGTCCGAGATACACAACTTACAATGCTTAAAAACCACCTTCACCAAACAGAGACACTTCCCCAGAGATGTAGATTGCAGCATGGAATGGGCCACCCAAATACTCCAAAAGAACCTTCAATGGGGGGACAGGGGGAACAACCACCTTTGGCTGCATATCCCTAGCTGTCACCTACCACACCACACTGGAACCCATCTGGGGTATTATTAAACAATTATAACCCATAACTCAATGGAGACCACATCCTGAAAGAAATCTTTCCCATACCCCCTCTTCTGGCCTTTGAACAACCCCTAACCACACTAAGCTCATCCTCAAAAGCAAGAGCCATACAGACCAGGACACACCAACTCAGTGCACTGCCAGACGAACAGGGCAGTATCGTAGATGAAGTTCAGACTAAGGCGTGATTATTGCTGGTTGAAAACTTTTCTGTGGACAGGGTTTTCAGGACCTGGTAAGAAGCAGGGATAAGGCTAGGGGACCAATCCCAGTATTGTATCCAATTTACAACAGATGCAAAACCTGCAGACATATCTCCTCCACTGCAGTGATCAAACCCCCCCACAACACACCTTTCAAAATGCATGGGTCCTACCCATGCCGATCACAAAATGCGGTGTACCTCATCCAGTGCACTAAATGCCCCAATAGCAACTACGTGGGTGAAACCAGACAGTCACTACACTGTCAAATGAACTCACATGGGAAAATGATAAAAGACAAAAACACCATATGGGCAAACCCTTTTTACAGAATGATCACTCCATATCTGACCTCTCAGTTCTCATCCTCAAAGGAAACCTGCGCAAACACCTTCAAAAGATGAGCCTGGAAGCTTTTAAATTAATAACTCTGCTAGATAGCAAAAACCATGGTCTTAATAAAGACACTGGATTTATGGCTTATTACAACAATCTGTAACCCACTAACCCCCCCCCTTTTTTTTTTTAATTTCTCCTGTGACTGCAGGGGTGTTAATGAGCCATTTCACCTTGAATGGTCCCTTTAAATATGTCGCTAACCAATCTGTTCCACCTTGTATTTAGCTGTGATGCTCTGAGAACCTTTGGCAGAGCTGAAGAAGAGTTCTGGGTAAGCTTGAAAGCTTGTCTCTCTCACCAACAGAAGTTGGTCCAATAAAAAATATTATCTCACCCACCTTGTCTCTCTAATATCGTGGCACCAACCATCCTGGATCCACAAAAAGGAAGTTCTTCTTCACTCAGCGCACAGTCAACCTGTGGAACTCCTTGCCTGAGGAGGTTGTGAAGGCTAGGACTATAAAAGGGTTTTAAAGAGAACTGGATAAGTTCATGGAGGTTAAGTCCATTAGCCAGGATGGGTAAGGTATGGTGTCCCTCGCCTCTGTTTGTCGGAGAGTGGAGATGGATGGCAGGGGAGAGATCACTAGATCATTGCCTGTTAGGTTCACTCCCTCTGGCATTGGCCACTGTGGGTAGACAGGATACTGGGCTGGATGGACCTTTGCTCTGACCCAGTATGGTCGTTCTTATGTTCACAGTATCGGTGCTATGGCTCCAGCTTTGGAACACCCTCTAGGAGGAAACTCTTCAGTGCGCCAGACCCCCTGGGTGTCTCACTCTTCCTCTGGGGAAAGACGAACATCTTCACCAGCTCCTTAGACTGGACCTCTGAGCCTTCAGCATGCCTGCTTCACATTGTGAGCTCCGTGCACATTTGCAGTGACACTCACACAGCGAATGTTGGTGGGTTCAAACTTCCCCAGGTCACTGGCTAAAGTGACCCCGCTCAGTTTGGTCTCGAAGTGGGACTGTTCTTAATGTTTCCTCTGAATAGTGTGGGGGTGCCTCAGTTTCCCCAGTGCAGTTCTTAAGTATCTAGGGGGTGAGATAAGGGTGTATGATCGTTGCAGAGCCCTAGAGGGCAGGTGTGTGCAGGGGTCAGGACACAGAGAATGGCCGACACCCTGTTTCCTGGCAACTGATGGCCTGGGCCCTTCCCCCCTGCAAGGTGAGAGCTAAAGGGTTGGAGAACAAATGAATCAGTTGACCTCCTGGCTAGGAAAGGGACAAAGCCCAGAGGAGGAGGGGCTGGAGAGAGTTTCAGTTTGGGACTGGCTGGGGACATAGAGTGAAGTGCAGACGTTGTTGTCTGGCTCATTGCCCCCCAAAGTGGACCCAGCTGAGGGGTCCTGTTTTCTGCACCTACAAGCTCTGTTTTAGACCATGTTCCTGTTGTCTAATAAACCTTCAGTTTTACTGGCTGGCTGACAGTCATGTCTGACTGCAAAGTTGGGGGGCAGGACCCTCTGGCTTCCCCAGGACCCCGCCTGGGCGGACTCGCTGTGGGAAGCGCACGGAGGGGCAGAGAGGATGCTGAATGCTCCGAGGTCAGACCCAGGAAGGTGAAAGCCGTGTGAGCTTCTTGCCCTGCAGACAGTCTGCTCCCAGAAAGGAGACTTCCCCAGAGTCCTGCCTGGCTTCGTAGGGAACAGCTCCAGATCATCACCCGGGGACTCCGTGACAACTGGTGACAGCGGTCAAAACAGTAGGGTTTAGTCATTAACTGGTAGACAGCATAGGAAGTCCTTAGGGTAGCATACACAAATGAAGGTTAAAGCATAGTCCATTCTGGTTAGCCCAGAGCCCAGCCAACCTGTAGTGAACCCCTTGGTTCAAGCTTTGTCTCTCCCTCTCACCGCCTCCTTCTTTTCCTTCCAGCAGCCAACTCTCACACCTCTCCAGTCCTTTGATCTGGAGCTAGAGACTGTTCAGCTTCCCCCAGGAGAGGCAGGGAAGTCCAGATCCCTCTGGGTCATTGGTTGCCAGGTGTCAATGTCCTGATGATTGGATTTGCCATTGTCTTCTGAGATCCTCCATTCATATGGGAACTGAGGCCCAGACAGCTAGGTAGGCGACACCCACACCTATGTGTCTCAGCCTTCCCTGAGAGCAAACAATTCCCCTTCCACCGCTGGGCAACAATGCAGCACATTGGGGGGGGGAGGGGGGTGGAACTGAGGCACAAACAAGACTCATAATATTACAGAAAATTCCCACTCTGTCACACCAGACCCTGGTTGTCAGTCTCAGCATGGAGACCATGTATTTAGTGGGCGGTGGGCCTGAGCTCTCAGGCCATCCTCAGCTGTTTGGGACAGCCATCAAATAACCCAGCCAGTACACAAAGCCTGCAGTGAAATTTTGGCCCTATTGGAATCAATAGCAAAACTCCCCAGTCGGCCAGGATTTCACCCTGGTGTATAGGATGTTTAGGCCGGGTATAATACTAGCCTTTGCAGACCTTCCCCCTGAAATGACTTCTCTCCCCCTCCCTGAGGACACAGCCCTGCCCTTTCTTGAGCATCTAACTGTCGAAGGAGGCCCAGCTGCCCTGGCTTTGATGCATCTCTGCCTGGGTCCACCTGCATGCATCCCATTGCAGGATCAGGGCTGAACTGAAGTGCTCAGATGCCAATTTCTCATTTTACAGCAGGCAGGTAGAGGGTAAGGACATTTGTGGTCAAAATGATAATGTGGTTTCTGTTTGCCTATCATAACTAAGATAGTAAATCCAATTGAGGTTGAGTGCTTCATTTAGTGCCATGTAGTTAGCCATGTCTGTAAACAGCTTTGATGACGAAAAGCTGTGTATAAATGTTAAGTATTATTATAATATAAAAAGAAAAGGAGTACTAGTGGCACCTTAGAGACTAACCAATTTATTTGAGCATAAGCTTCCGTGAGCTACAGCTCACTTCATCGGATGCATTGGTTAGTCTCTAAGGTGCCACAAGTCCTCCTTTTCTTTTTGCGAATACAGACTAACACGGCTGCTACTCTGAAACCAATTATAATATACTGTCCTCAGCTGACATGCAGAGCTCCCACTAACCTCCCTGGGACTTGAGCATGCAGACTGCGGCCAGTATATGATGCTTAACATTTGCGTGCTGAGACAAGTCCACATTGATGTATACATGCAAATAAATGCTCCAGTTTAAAGTAGAATACACTTTCCTGTCCCCCTTCCAGACAGGACAGAATGGATCTGTTTTATTAATTTCAAATTACAGTAATGATAAATGGTGTTCCAGACACTGTAACAGGAAATAACAGGCATGAAATTCTTTACATTACTTGGTTCGCAGTACATTTGTCCATGTTAAATAAAACAGCATCCAATTGTCATCCCAGATAGCTTGTTTCCCACGGTTTCCTGCAAGTTGATTACACTCTTTTAAATTTTATTTTTAAAGGTACCTGGGTTGTAACTAGCTTTTTGCATGGTTTCTCTAGCTAACTTCCAACTCTGCACCAAGCAATTAATTAACCAAACTCTACTGAGCCCCAGTGTCTGATGTTTCAGTTGAGGGCATGGACAGGAGTAGATAAGAGAGAAAAAAAGAACACAAAAACCTCCCAACAAAAATCCAAAGCTGCCACTTACTCAATTCTGGGGGCAACCTTGCCTTGACCTTGGCTGTCTCAGCCAGATCCTCCAATTCAATTGTGGTAAACTCTAACCTGCAGTGAGGCTCTAGCTGCTATTGAAATAATGTGGTTTGGAACATCCCAGCTCCACTGCAAATTAGAACATGCATAACTTATGATGGGGGAGGGAGGAGCAAACGCTGCTCTACTAGGGCCCAATCATACACCCATGAGAGTGAACTGGAGTTTTGCCAGTGAATGCAATAGCAGCAGGATTGTGCCCTAAGGGAAGGTAAGGGAGCCTAACTTACTAGCCACACAGGCTTGAAATACCTGTGCTGTGCACGGACCTAATCAAACAAACCCAGCCCCCCATCAGAGTGTTCCTAGAGAATCCGGAGATGGCTTCAGTTGGCCTAAATGCTGTCAGATGTCATTAGAGCGGAACAAAGATTCCAATTCTAGTCACACATCAAAGCTCATTTCACTTACAGCCGGGGCACTGCAGGTTTGCTATTGATTCTGGTAAGGCTGGTCTCCAGACGTATTCACTGAAGGTAAAGCATTCTTCAGCATTCAGCCACAGAGCTCTGCATTAACTAAATGTCCAGAGCCTGAAACAAACCCACAAAAACCAGACACAGCAGGACTTCAGCAGCAAATGAGTCCAGCCTGACACACTGTGTATTGAGCCGATGCAGGTGTTCCAGGAAAAGGTGGTACTCCCCTTGTTTTTAGCACCTTCCATCCAAAGATCTGTGTGCTTTTCACACATTTCAACTTCCCATCCTCCTGGAGAACTCGGAAAGCATCGTCTCCATTTTACAGCGAAGGAATCAGAGAATAATACAAGGAGTAAGTGGAAGGATCAGGAATAGAACCCAGGAGTCCTGACCCCTAGAGAATATACCCGCATGCCAAGTTCATTTGGGGCCTGATCCAAAGCCAACTGAAGTAATTGAAAGTGAGATCAGATCCATACAACCTTAACTCAGCCTTTCCTAGCTTGCATTCGTTTAAGGGACATATCCTCCACACAGATACACAGCATATCCATTATTAGCTGGGGCTATAGTATTTTGATTGACAATAACCTTTAGAACATAAGCTCTTCAGGACAGGGATTGTACACCACCTAGCTAAATTAGGGCACTAGCGCAATCAAACTAATCCCCTGGGTGGTGGGTCAGTAACATTATTCCCATTTGCCAGATGAGCAGTGACTGCCCATGGCTGCAGTAAGAGATGATTTCAGAGCCAGGATTAGGACCAGGTGCCCCAGGAGCTGCTGGCTCCTAGTCCTGGACTAAGAACCTATAAACTCTGCCTCAGTGTCGTCAACCTTTCCCTTCCCCTGTGGCTGTGCAGTGAGCTGGCTGGTTGCCATCTTGTATCCCAGAGGCGTTTATATTTCCATGTTTGTGAAGTGCTTTGGGATCCCTTGGGAGGAAGGGTGTTCTCCAAAGGGTTGCCGTGACTTGTATGTGTTTGCAGAACACTAAACTGCCAGCTGCATCAGGGGCTTCTTTCATAGAGTCATAGAATATCAGGGTTGGAAGGGACCTCAGGAGGTCATCTAGTCCAACCCCCTGCTCACAGCAGGACTTTCCTGAAGGCTCAAGCTCAGCTGGACGTGGAAGCAGCTGCGTCCCAGATTTGGCTTCACCTTGACACAAACCTGGAAGCAGATCAAAGCTATGTGGATGTGGAAACAACTGTGCCCCAGATGTGTCCATCTTCTGTCTCTGAAGTCTGCAAGGTGTTACCCACACACAGGGCTCTCAGCCCCTTGCGCTGGTTGCCAGTTGTCCGTGCAGAATTCTGGGCTGAACTGTAAGGTAACTGCCCATGAGCTCTCCGAGGGGCGTTAATAGTTACATTAAATTCTGACAGGTTTCAGAGTAGCAGCCGTGTTAGTCTGTATCCGCAAAAAAAAGGAGGACTTGTGGCACCTTAGAGACTAGTGAGCTGTAGCTCACGAAAGCTTATGCTCAAATAAATTTATTAGATTCTGAAACCATGGTAAGGTCTTTAGCCATCTTGACCCTTGCATCTTTGGACTCATAGTTAGGTCCAACAGGTAGTCAGACCTTCACCAGAGATTTGATGGACATTGCTCTAGCTAGGGAATTTGAATGGATTAATTAACCTTAAAGATGATTGACAAAGGAAAACGTGCCAGTATCTTTTTTGTGTTCTGCATGATTATAAATCAAAACAAAAGAGTTTTGTTATTAATATAGGGATTTGTTCTTGGATTTTGTTGTTTTGCATTAGAAATCACAGGACTTGACTTCTGTTATTTACTCGAGGACCCCTTGGAGGATTGTTAATTAAGGCTAAGATTTTGTCACGGTTATTTTTAGTAAAAGTCACACACAGGTCACAGGCAATAAACAAAAATTCACAGAAGCCGTGACCTGTGTGTGACTTTTGCCATTGTGGCTCCATGGTTTCTGAGCTGCGGGGTTCCCCCTCTGCCCCCCCCCGTGGCTGGGATCTGCAGGAGAAAATGGGACACCCCCAGGTGCTCACCCGAGGTGTCGCCCGTTGCTGGAACCTTGCAGGGGGCCTCCTGTCTCTGCTGTCGCCTGTCGTTGGAACCCTGCCAGGGCCCTGCTGGCTGCCAGCTCCAGAGTCCTGCAGCTCCTGGGGCTGATGGAGAGAATGTCACAGAGGTCTCTGGAAGTCACACACATCCTGTGACTTCCATGACATAAACGTGGCCTTCTTGTTAATTGAAGTTAATGGAGTTGTGAGAGCTCAGTGCTTTTGAAAACCAGGTTGCTTATTTAGGTGCATAAATATGAATTTAGGTTCTTCAACAAAAAAACTTCAAAACCAGACTCCAGTGAGAGACTGCTGAATTGGAATTAATTTGCAAACTTAAATTAGGCTTGAATAGAGACTGGGAGTGGATGGGTCATTACACAAAGTAAAACTATTTCCCCATGTTTATTCCCCCCTTCCTTCCCCCCACCACTGTTCCTTATCAACTGCTGAAAATGGCCCACCTTGATTATCACTACAAAAGGTCGTGTCCCCCCCCCCCCTCTCCTGCTGGTAATAGCTCACCTTACCTGATCACTCTCCTTACAGTGTGTATGGTAACACCCATTGTTTCATGTTCTCTGTGTATATAAATCTCCCCACTGCATTTTCCACTGAATGCATCCGATGAAGTGAGCTGTAGCTCACGAAAGCTTATGCTCAAATAAATTGGTTAGTCTCTAAGGTGCCACAAGTCCTCCTTTTCTTTTTGCGGATACAGATTAACACGGCTGCTACTCTGAAACCTAACTTTAGACAGAAAATGTTGGCCTTTAATGCCTCTGTGCCTGTTTCCCAATCTGTAAAAAAGAAAACAAAATATCACAAGGATATTGTGAGGTTTATTAATGGATATTGTTAAATTGCTATGGGATGTTTGGGCAAAACAGCAAAATGTGAATAGGTCAGAGCTGTTATGACATGTCAAATCATGGAGGGGAATCAAGTTTTAAGTCAACAACTTTAACTCAGGGTTGGAGTATGAAGCAAAAAGAACTAGTAATGCTGACAAGCCATTAAAAAGCCAAGTCTAAAGTGTATCCGTGGGTTGACTGGAAACCCACATCTGTTTGCTAACAGACATGCTGGAAACTCTGATAAGCTTGGAGGGAAGCACTGGGCTGGAGGGATATATGCTGGTGGAGGGGGAAGAAGCCGAAGTGGTGTGTGTCAGCAGCCTCTCTGGGCATTCTTTCCCCAGTGCCTGAAGGTCTCACAGCCTCAGGGTCACCCCCAACCTTATGATGAACTCCTAACGGGCCCATCGACAAACAGCCTTTTATGCTTAATTATACAATTCATTAATTGATCTCTATTACTAATTATGATTATTTTTACTTGTATTCTAGTAGCCCCAGAAACCCTGGCCATGTGCCAGCATCCCACTGGTGCAAGGTACAAACCCACGCCCTGGAGGCCACTGAAGATATTAGCCTTTGAAAGAGCCTGAATCTCCCTGGCACCTGGCAGCAGAAGACACCCAGCTTTTTAAGTAGGACAGCGACTGGATACACGGTCCCTGGTCTGTTCCCCCAGTGTACCATGCCCAGAGGGGACCCTATGCCCTTGGAAGAGGTCTCAGACACCGAAGCCCAGCACCATCTCCTCTAGAACCCACAGCCGCCTGCCCCTCCACAGGGTGTGGGGAGCTGGGGAAGGGGCTGGAGGCTGGGGGGCCTCTGTGGCAGGAATGCCTGATCTCTTCACAATCTCTAACGCTCCTCATGCCATTATGCCCAGCGGGGCTAAGTGACCTGCCCAAGGTGCCAGGGGAACTCGGTGCCAGAGCAAAGACTCGACTCCAGACCTCCCCTCGCCCCAGCCGGGCGCCGGACCACGGCACCATCCTTCCGCCCCAAAGGGCGGCGGTGTCCGCGTGAGCCCAGCAGGGCGGCACCGCGCGGGCGGAGGACCCCCGCGCGCCCCGCCCCGCCCCTGCCCGAGCCGCCCGCAAGGGCCCCCGCGGGCGCAGAGGGGCGGGGGCGGGGGAAGGGCGGGCGGCGCCTTCCCGAGAAAACTGGCGGCAAATTTCCCGCGCGGCACCCTGTGCGCAGCTGCCCGCGGCCAGGGGGGCGGGGCTCCCGCGGAAAGTGGCTACATTCGGCGCGCGGCGGAACGCGGGGCCGCGCCAACGTTCCAGCGAGCCGGGCTCGGCGAGCACGGGCCGACCGCGCGGACCTCCCAGCGAGCCGAGCCGGGCCGAGCCGAGCCGAGCGAGCGAGGTCCGTCCGAGCGCCCGCGCCGGCCTCCCCCCGGAACCGGCCCCGCCGGGATGGCTCAGCGCAGGGTGACCGATTTCTTCCCGCACAGCAAAAACCCCGCCCGGGACGGGCCGCTGGGCAGCAAGCGGCGGAAAACCCAGCCCGTGGGAGGCGTGGCCGGCGAGACGCGCCGGGCCGCCGGCTCCAGAAGCCGGCCCAACGCGGCCCCGCTAGCGATCCCGGCAGGGAGCCTCCGGGAAGCCAGCCCCGGAGCCACGCTGGGCGGGTTGGGAAATGACGATCGGGCGGCGGTGAGCGCCGCAGCCGGGCTGCCTCCCCTGAGCCCCCAGCTGCAGCAGCTGCTGGCCTCCCCCCGCACCCCAGGGCGCCCCGATCCCGGCTGCCCACAACCCCCGGCACGGACACCCACGGGCAGAAAGCGGTGTAGACAGGACCTGGATCCTGGAGCGGAAGCGGAGCGAAACGCCGACCCGCCAGCCGGCCTCCAGCCCCGGGAGACCCGCAAGAGAGGGGCCAGGAAGAAGCTCGTACTGCCCGCAGATGCCGATCCCCAGGGTACAGAGCAGGAGGCGGCAGTCACGGTAGGTACCCCCTGAAGGCCCTTGGCCAGGACAGGGGCAGTTTTGGCCCCGCAGATCTGGGTTCCCTTTGTCCTGGGGGCCTCTGGGCAGCGCTGGGTCTGAGGCCTGTTGGGACCTTCCGTACCGCTTGTGCTGGCAAGCAAGTAGGACAGGGCCCTAGCTGCTCCCCTGGCCCCCTCCGGCCTGCGCTGAAGATCCAGTGCCCAAAATATCAGCAGGGAAACCATTAACAGCGTGTCTTTTAACCTTGCCGTTGTGCTTCCTACTTCACACCCCATTGAAGCAAACAGGGCACATCCCTGCGGGCAACAAACCTGAGCAATAGCGTTTGTAATAAACTCAAATTGCTGGGCTCTCCGGGGTCCTGCTTACAGGAGGGAGGGAAGGAAGGAATCGTCCCTTGTTGCTCATCCTGGTGTGAAGCACGCTGGGAGCTCTAGTGTAGACAGGCTGCTGGTATTTTGTGCACTCTGGAGATTAGATCTGCTTTGATAAGGGCAGTGACTCAGTATTAACAGCCTGCAGCAGCTGGTGGCCCATTTCTGCTAGGGTTTCGGATGTTGCAAAACTTGGTGGAGTAGAACTAGTGTAGAAAACGTTTTGGGCCAGGGATGGAATTCCTAATCCCAGTCTGTAATCGCTGGTGCAGGGCTGCTGAGACAGCGTGTGTGTGTTTGCGGAGTGGGGAAGTCAAAGAAGCTGTCTGTTAGTTGCACCGCACTGCTCGGACCTGGATTCACTGGGTATTAGAAAATCTGACTTTGACTCGAGCTCTAGCGGACATGCTGACTCGGAGCCATAGGAAGGTTTATCTTCCACTAATGCAGGGAGACTCCTTGGTGAGTAACAGCCAGGCAGTGAAGGCAAAACATTCTAACAAATAATTCCGGTTGCAGGTTTCCAGCCCCTGCTCCAGTGCTGCCCTCAGACCCCCAACTCCGTCATCCCTTGACAAGAATGTGAAGAACCTGGTGAATGTGACCCTCTCACCAGGTCCAGAAAGTGGGCTGCAGTCTGGCCTGGCTACGCTAGGGGGAAACATAAGCTTTAAGCAGGTATGGAAAGTTTGTGAGTTTTCTCTCCCTGAGACTGGGAAGGGGCTCCACTGAGTGAGCTCTGCTAATAACTCTGCGCTCTTGTGCGCGCTCACCCTCAAAGTGGCTTGATGGGGATACAAACCCCATCACTCTTAGCTCTGCAGCGGCATCTAAATGCATGTTAACACCAAGGGGGGATGTAACAGCTCCCTCTGCTCACAAGCTGGGTCGGGGTAGAATTCCTGCAGAATCCCTTATGAATTCTCTTCTCACTAACCCACCTCTGGTGTCCTTGAGATACCAGCACGTGCCTGGTATGTTCAGCAAGTGTGCTGTACCTAGATTGGCCCCCTGCATGCTAAATACATGATTCTGTAGGAGTATAAGTGACCATTGGAGCTATGCTAACCCTCCAGCCCCGTCCAGAATAACAACTGAGCACTTGTAAACAATCTTCCCATTCTTAGAGTCCTGTATCTGTTCCCTTCCCACTCCCCATCTCAGGTCTCATCCAAGGAGCTGAAACACCGCCTGCAGAGACTCCAGGAGCTGACTCGGAAAGCCAAACTGCCAGCTTGCCCCTCTGAGACCTGCAGTGACTTGAAGAGCCGCTTGAAACAAGTGCAGGAGCTAGAATCCAAAATCCGCAACAGGAAGGCAGAGGAGGGGAAGGGATCTGGACTGCAACCATCCAAAGAGACCTGTGAGCCAACCGTGGAAGCCAGGTGAGAAGCCAACTTTGGGGATAGCTGGAATAGGAACTTCACCTTCAGTGTGTGTTTAACCTGGTGCTGAAACAAAGTCTGGGACAATAGACCTGGGGTTCCAGTTAATTGGCATAGTCAGTGATGGTAAAACTAATGCTGCTCTGGGTTTCCTGAAGAGCTAATTACCACCTACGAGGCAGAGGTAGAATGTAGCCCAAGGCACTTGGGTAGCAAAATGCTGCAGCTCTCCAGTGGTCTCTCAAACATCTGTTTCTGATGTTTAATATCCAGTAGTTGGGGTTCAGCATAGATGGGATCTTTCTACTCGGAGACCAAACATCTCCGCTCCAGAAGTGAGAGCCTGCTTGCCTCGTTCACACAAATATGTGCGCCAGCACTAAATGGTTTAAACCGAGAGGCTACTTCTGAGCATGTCCACTCTTGGGCACTGACATGGCATTGCGCGAGGGATCCCTGAGGGGTGACCTGCTGCTGCCTATGCTCTGGACCGCAAAAGTGAGCGGGCTTCTCCATTGAAGCAGAGTCAGGGTGGGGGAAGACTTCAGCAGGGTCACTTGAAGAAAGCACTACACAGATGCTGTCGTGAACTTGGGATGCAACTCGCACGTATCTTCTTGCTATTCTGACGGCTAAGAAAAGAAACTCTCTGCCTCTGGAATGTGTAGTGCAGCCTCAGAATCTGAGCTGGACCTTTTCAGCTCCTCTAATCCATCCCCATCCTGCCAGCACAGGATTGGCCCTTGGAGAACATAGAGGCAAAAGATTGCAGAGGTTGGGGATTGTATGAACATCAAATCGCCATGTCAGCATGGACTCAACAGAGATTTCTACCACACCTGAAACTAGCAGGCTTTCCTACTGACCTCCTTTCTGAGTAGCAAACCAAGAGCCAGTCTGTTCACACACGTGCTCACAGACACCTGGTGTTAATCTCATGTTGAAGTTACTCGTTGTGGGTCTAATTCCTGGTCACTTTTCCCTTCTATCAGTGAGAGGGCACCTGCCTATCAGCGATTCCACACCCTTGCTCAGGATATTCCCCCAGGTCTCACGCTGCCCTATAAATACAAGGTACTGGCAGAGATGTTCCGCAGCATGGACACCATTGTGGGGATGCTCTTCAATCGCTCCGAGACGGTAACCTTTGCCAAAGTCAAACAGGGTGTCCAAGATATAATGCACAAGTAAGTTCCTCCTCCTGATGGTGGGTAGCTCTATGTACGAGGAATTGCTATAGCGCTGTAGGACTCCGCATTCAGCATTCCCTGTAATTGTGCCAGCAGCATAACAGCTGTGAACTTTCCCAGTTTTGTGCCTAGTACAAAGCAGATGCACAATGAGCAGCCTCGAAGAAGGTCAGGATTCAAGTGCACTGGAAGGGCTTTCTCATGCAGACTTCCCAAGCCTGCAAAGAGGGACCTATAGAAGCATACGTGGAAGGGTTGAGGGGGAGGGGGCTTCCACCTGTTCTGGCTGCCTGATAAATTCTGGTTGTAACGTTTTCCCCTAAATGAGGAGGGGCTCAGCGTAGCTGAGGACTGGCATTGCTGGATGTGCCCATGTGGGTGGGGGAGGCGTCTTTGATGCTGGCACAAGGGAGACTTGGCTGGAGCATGTGGAGTGACTCACTCCTTGCTGCGGTACCTGCAGCACCTCTTACAAATCTATTTCCCGTCACAGGGGAAAACCCTGACTGTCTCCACGCCACAGAGAGCAGACCTGAGGCACAGACATTAAATGACTTGCCTAAAGCCACAGAAGAAGCTTATGCCAAGACTGGGATTAGACCAGGAGAGCCCTTGGCTCCTGGACCTGTACTCAGACCACTTCCCAGGACAGGATTTGCTCTTTAACTTGCAGCTCCTCTGTCCTTTGCCGTTCACTCCCATACGTATTGCAGGCAGGGACTCTGACTGCTAGTACCCTGCATGTCGCGTGGGAGTCTGATTCCCGGGGCCCCCCATTGCTCTGGGTTCCATCGGGGCTGCTGAGTTTAAGCACTTGTTGCTGATGCTCATTTGTGTCCGTGCTGCTACCTAATTTCCGACTCTTCCTGCAATGCCACAGGCAGTTTGAAGAGAGGAATGTGGGTCAGATCAAAGCCGTGTACCCCACTTCGTACAAGTTCCGCCAGGAGAGGAACATCCCAACCTTCAGCAATTTCTGGAAGAAATCCAGCTACCAGCTCACCATAGAGCCCGTGCTGGGGGAAGGTACGTGCTGCAGCATACTGTCTGACCGAGCCCTTGTGGAGGAGACCTTGCTGGCAGGCTGGGCTCTAAGCTTTCTCTCTGACCTGATCCCTAACGGTGCTTGCTGGGAAAGGATGTTTGGGTCTCTGGAAACCTTTTCCCCCCAAACGAGTTCACTGTGTCTGACGGAACTGAGACCATCTGACTAGCTGGTTCCCTGAATGTGGGCAGAGTGGGGAGCAGCTCTGACCTATTCCAGCAGTGGGCCAGACATGTAAAACTATTGGCCTGGCAATGGATCTCAAAGCCTGTCGTCTTTCCCAGGGGTTCCTTTGAAACTCGACTCAGAACATAACCTGTCGATGGCATTCCCAGTTCTGGCTACGCTGGTGCTCTGCATTCATCCAGGTGCTGTTCTGTTTGTTTCCCTGTGATGCAGCAGGCGGGGGTGGAGGGCTGGCTCTGAAGCCGACGATCAAGTCTGGTGTCCTTGAGGCTGTGTTGCTTCACGCTCCTGTACTTACAGCTGCTGCAGTGTGATGGCATGTGTCAGCCCTGGGGTACTGCAGCCAGTTCTTCCCCCTGTAGCTTCCCCAGTTGCAGGACCTGGGGATAATGAGGGAACCTCTCTTGTCTCCAGAGGAGAAGGTAGATGGCTGCCCGCACCTGTCAGCGTCGCGCTTGCTGGAACGCAGGAGGGTATTCGGCAGGAACTTGTTGAACGTTGTCAAACAGCACCACAAGGTGAATGGCTCGGTGTTTTTGGTATCCCGGGGAGACTGGTATAGACCAGGGGCCATGCCGACTGAGTGAATCTGCCATCTGTGCATGCAGCCAGCTGGAACCTTACTACCGTTCGGGGGTGCTGCGTTCTCCTGTACTTCGTGAAGCTAAGCCATCGCCTCCTTAACAATCTCTCCAATTCAGAAACCTGATGAGACCTGCTCTGTCTTAGGTCACTTGCTGGCTTTCACCTTCAGAGATCTAAGATTCCCCAAGACACTTTTTTGATATCTAGAGGCAGAGATAAGAATCCACTTAACTGAGGGGCCTGGGATCCAAAATAAAAGTACATAGTTGGACCACCAAACCATTCATGTCTGTGGAATCCTAGGCAGGGAGGGGAGAAAATCTGAAACATTGAGACAAGGATCAGGATTCTCCTAGGGAGAGAGACTTGTCCTGGACTCTCCTGGCTCTGGTTTCTCATAGACACATGACACTAAACTGCTAAAAGCACAACACTGCGGTGAGGTAATGGATCTAGCTCAAGGGTAACAAAACCAAACTCTTATTGGGTATCTGACTTGCAGTGTCTGACACACAACTCTTTTCACTCCAGATGTTCATGGCTTCCCTCAACCCCGCAATGGTCATACCAGATGACAAGCTGACCAGATGGCACCCTCGCTTCAATGTAGACGAGGTGCCAGACATCATACCAGCTGAGCTGCCCCGGCCCCCTCAGGTGGACAAGCTGACCACGGCACAGGAGGTGTTGACCAAGGCCCAGAGCATGATGACCCCAAAGGTAAGGGACAGAGATGCTTAGGCTGGAGTACACAGCACCAATACTGGATGGTTGTGAAGAACTTGTTACCCCCGCTCACATCTGTGGGATCACTGGTACTCCTGTGACCCAATTGCAGTAATACTCAAGCACCCACTCCTCCCTGGGGAGGAAACTCCATCTTGTACTCTTCCCTGCTATTGATCAAAGACCCTGAACTGTTAACCTGCTGTTGGGAACCGTGCCCCTAGCTTCAAGCATAGGCTCCCTGGGTACACCTTGCAGCTCCCGCATGAGACTTCTGACTCTCCTTTGTGTGAACAGATGGAAAAGGCTCTTGCCAACCTGGCTCTAAGAACCGCTGAAACCAGCCCAGGAGAGCATGAGGCCCCCAAAGCAACATGCATGGCCAACACCTCCAGTGCCCTGAAAGGAGTGTCCCAGGCCCTGCTAGAAAGGGTGAGTAACCTGGTCGTGACTGCAGAGGGAGTGTCCCCCGACAAGGGGGTCTGGAGAGTGTCTGACCCAACCCCCACTAACTTCTGTTCCCTTAGATCAGAGCAAAGGAGGCTCAGAAACTGCAGGCTCTGATGACCCGGAACCCACAACAGGAGGAGCGGCTCGTCATGATCTCACGGCTGCCAGAGATGGCACGCTTCCTGCGCAACGTGTTCGTGGCTGAAAAGAAGCAGGCGCTGACTACAGAGGTGGCATGTACGCGGATGCTCGACAGCTACTGTACCACAATGACTGCTGGTAATAGAGGGGGATTGGAAAGGGGTTTTTGCCTCTGGCATGTGAGGTTCTGAGTCACAAAATCCAACATTTCCTGCCACCGCGGAGCAAAGGTAGAGCTGAATGCTAGGAAGCACTGAATGGGTACCGTAATACCTACTTATCTCTAGAGGTTGCTATGGCTACCATGTTAAACAATACATTTTTGGGAGCTGCAACGCTATCCTGGAGTTAGCTGTAGTTGGAGGATCCCTATGGACAGAACCTTTACTTTCTAGCCTCACTTCTAACTCATGCTCCTCGTGCTGGTCTTGATGGAATCCTGGAACAGTGCTTATCCTGTCAATGGAACAATAGTAAATAATTCATTTTCCCTCAGTGGTCTCCCTAAGACCCTACCTTGGTGGAAGCTAAGGGTCTAGTCTTTATCCGGCATCTCTATGCTCCCCCAGAATGCCTAGCTGCTGCACCCCTCCCCCAGAGACTAGTTTGCCTGCCAATGTAGAAGCTGACACTACTTCATCGGCTTGGTATTGTGAGTTCTGTAGCCTCTCCCCCAGACATGGGAAACCCTGGGGTAGTCTGAACTCCTAAAATAACGGCTGTAATCTGATGGAGAGAGGAGTGGGAATATTTTTATAGGGCTTCCCTGCCCTGTATTGCTTCCGTTCCTGTGTACCAGCAGTGCCAAGCACAGCTGTGTAATTGATGGCTAAGCTCAAAGCCTGGAAGCAATGGCTGGGAGGAATTTCACCTGTGTGGTTCTGTGATTTGGGTAGGGAGCAGAAGCCAGAACTGCTGCCCATTGTGTAACACACTGGCTGACAGCTGGGAGAAGCTGTTTGAAACTAACTTGCTGATCACTTCTGGTTCTCTGCAGGTGAAATGGAGAAACACCTACACCTGTTCTCAGAGTTGTTGCCTGACTGGGTCATCATCCATCGGATCAGGAAAGACACCTACATCAAGCTGGACAAGAGCATGGACCTCAATGTCATTATGGAGAGACTGATGAGGATAATTAAGGAGGAGGAGAAGCTCTGATTCCGGGGGGAGGGAGTGGCTGGGGGTGAGATCCTGATCTTAATTAGATGTGCCTCTGAATGTAGCAGAGATGTGTCCCTCTTAAGGTCTTGCAGAGAACTCCCCTTTGGGCTGCTTGTGACCTCTCTCGTTCCTACCTATGCATAGGAAACCAAGAAGGTAGACAAGCCTCTTGGAGCTGAAGTTGTTCCTTTGGCACAGTTCTGGGCAACTCCCCTGGCCCTCAAATATGAGGGCTAATAGGTTATGTTCACTACTGCATGCCTTCCTTCAGTAGGAGGTTGCATTTGGCTTTCCTACCTAAATTGCTCCCTTTTTTTAGCTCTGACTGCTTAGTTACTATGGGCAACTTCATACAACAAATAAAACTCCTCGGGCCACAGTGGGAGCTGGGGTGTTTGAGCATCTCTGGCTGGCATGGCCTTAGTTACATAAGCCAGACCCCCCTCTCTGAGCAATGTTGTAATGTTTAATTCCCTTGAACAAGTTTCCAGTATGACAACTTGCATCCATTTCTTCCATTAGCTGAAGGTGCTGTGGGGGTGGATGGGATCATACGCCATTTCTAGAAAGTGAGAAATAAGAAAAATGGAATTTCCTTTGGAAAGGAAAAATCCCAGGGGCTCTTTTAATCTGTTCTGTTTTACAGAGAGAGAGAGTGCATCTCAGACCACTCCAGCTCTCTGACATTGTTGAAATGTGTTGGTATTAAACTTTTAAATGATTGGCAGTAGCAATGCTCCCTGCTTTAAAGAAAGAGTTCTTGCCTTAAACAGTGGGCTGCTTGAGGCACCCTTAACTCCAGCTGTAGGTGCTGAGGCTTCTCAGCGGCGGCAGAACATTGTGAATTACCAGTAGGGGAAGGGTTGAGTTGTCGGCCAATTTATGCAGAGACTTCTTGAGAAAAATGAGCAGGGATTTGCAGAGAAATGACTGCAACTTTTGTACATACAGGCATGGCTGAGAGCAGAGTTTAGCATCTGAGGGTTGGTACCTAATCAAAGGTTAGGCCTTCAAGGAAAGGGAACTGCTGACAGCTTTTGGCAACTGCAGCATAATCTAATTAGCACAAATGAGGGGGTACAGAGCATTCTTAACTGTTGGTTCATGTACCACTTTAAAAATGTATTGTGAATTGGTAGGACATCAAACCCCTGTTGATGGAACCCTGCTCTAGGTGGTCCATGCTGTAAGTCTGAGGGTGGACCCTAAACCCCTGAGCTTACAAATCACTGAGGTGCCATCCAGGTCTGTGCTAGCAAGGGCTTTCTCAGCTAAAGAGGCTTTAGGATATACAAATACTGCGTGGGGGAGTTAAGGAACAAGTCTTCCTTGTCTCAAGTACTAGGACATGAATGTGAGTTACTGCTTGGTTATACCAGAAGTCCAAACGGGGAGCAGCTCTGTTCTTTACCACTTTCCCCTGGGTAAAGTGCAGCCAGGCTGGCCTGTCTCATTTAGGGAGCAGGTTCAGAAGGTGCCCGTTTCCCCCAGAAGGATGGCAGTAGACAAAGCGGTTGCACACATGCAGAGCTAGCACTAGATGATGATGCAACAGAACAAAGCCACCTCCCTGTTGCTTTTTGAGTAGGAAACAGCAGTGAAGTGTGGCAGGTAAACCTGATCACATCTAGTCTGAACTTTAGTGCACACCTCTCTGGGGGGTCTTGAGCATATCCCTTGTTCACCACTGCCCCCTGTTGGAGTTTTAAGGAAAACCAACATCCTAACTCTTCAAGTCACAGGATCAGATGAAAATCTCAGTTTTTACAAGTCGATCGCTCCCAGGTGCGGGAAAAAAAAAGCTGACAACTTGACTTTCAAAGGCAAATAAAGATCATGCTTTTGGACTACCTGGGTATTAGCAATGTTACTTCTATCAAAATGGAGATACTCAAACTCTCCCCCAGGGTAAGACTGATGTCCAGTGCTCTATGCTAAGAACCTGAAATCAGGAGCTACTTTCACCAATCCTAATGAAAGACTGGATTGGTTTCACTGCAAAAAGTTTTCTTTATAGTGAGACAACTCCTCTTAGGTACCTATTTCTGTAAAATCCTAATGAAGAGAAGGCACTAGTTTTTACCTTGATGTAGTGGGTCAAGGGGGAAGAGACAGGGCTGGCCATAAGTAGCTCCATTAAGGCAAAAGCTACAGGGCTATGTACCATTAGGATTTTACAATCAAGTTAGCTATCTCAGGCCCTGAAGCCAGAGAGAGGGTACAGTCCAAGCCTTGCCTGACATCACAGTTTCTGGCACTGTATGGGGTCCAGCGCTGTGCTTTGGCAGTCGAAGAACATAAACGTGACAGTGCTGCAGCTGCTTTCCATGGGTTTTTTGGGTGGAGCTTTATTTCTTCACTTCACAGCAACTCTCCTGCCTTCACTGCCAAGTGTGCAGGAGGGGTACTGATTCTTACACAGGCTGGGTGTAAAAGTTAAACATCTTCTGGAAGCTTCCCAAAGAATTGTAATGTCCTATCTGGGGACTCTTAATACTACCTGGTTCTGAAGCTAGGAGCAAATTAACCCCAGTACTCCTATAGACCTAAGAAACTGAACATCTGATGTTTAAGGTTAACTACAAGTGCGTGGCTACACATCTGGTAAGCAAGCAGGCCGGGGGCACTGTAAAGGACACTTGGTCTGTAACTAGAGAGAGGCCCATATCACTCAACACTCACCCTTCAGAGCTAAACACAACTCAGGCTGTAGACAAGTTGTATGGTTTCAGCAGTGTCGCCCCACGGGTGGTTCTATCCAGTGGAGGGGGAGTATACAGTAACAAAAGCAGCCTACAATGAAACAAATGCCCAAACCCTCTCTACAGTTCCTACTCTTTAACTGCATGCCTATTTGATTTAATGTCATACCTGGGCTGTTCTCCATGTATATGGTGCACTTTCACACACCTGCAGGGAAGCAAAGGTTTCCGTGCGCTCGAGGCACTGAATAACTAACTACCTTTCTTACCTTGCAGAATCAGATATTAAGTATTACAGTTCTAGGAGGAGCAAGTCCCAAAGTTGGCTTCTCTAGCATCTTCCAGTGAGAGCTCAAAGAGCAAGGGTTGGGGAGGAATTCAGTAAGACCAGATATGAGGAACATATCTTAACGGTTCAGCTCAGCATGTAAAGCAATTGGGCTGGCCTAACTTCCAACCCTTTTGTATTTCACTGAATGTTGGTTTCTTGAAGAGAAATGGTCATAGAAATACACACCCCCTTCATCCTGCTACCACAATAGTAAATAAATATTGACCTTTTAATTCTCAAAACTAATCAGCTACAGATTCAATTGAAGACAGCCATTACAAATATTAGTTACAACCCAAAGCATCCTCTCTCATCCATAGGGAGATTTGGGTACCCTGGCTCTGATTTTTAAGTGTTTGTGACAGAGTTGGATGTTACAGCTAGATCACACACTGCAATTAGGAGTCTTTTTTCTAAAAATCTGCCTATCAAACTTTCTCCACCCTAGTAACTAGAATGCTTTTAATAGACCTCATGCTAAAGCACGCAAAGTGAGCAAAGTTCCCCTTTCCCTTTCCTTTTTAGGTTGTGCCAATATTGGAGGGTATTTTGGAACAAGGAAGTTGATTGAAGGGGCTGGGGGGAGGGGAGACAACAATATCAACCCAAGCTCAGTAACCTTTCAGTATGCTGGAACCTGAGGATAAAGGCAGAATTCAGGGAACTTTACTGTATATATAAGAAGGGGGCATGTAAAAAGTTGTATGTTTTACATGAGATAGGATGAGTGAGACATGCTGGGGACTTGCACCCATTTCTTATATTGAACAAGTCACCACCGCTCCATTAGCATTGCAAATTGAAGAATTCCAATGTGTACAGCTCCCAGGGTTGACAGAACAGCTGTAACCCAAGCATGTGGATACAATAAAAGGGGCCATCATACAGATGTCCAATACCATGTTAGTTTTCACGATCTAGAGAAACTGATTCCTCCCCTGATCACAAGTAAATCTCAAAGCCCTTCCTCATTTCTCACCAAACCCACAGCAAAATCTAACATGAAATTGGAACGATATAAAGGCTTCTAAATGATATTTTAGATCGAAGGACAACTCCCCCCCCACCCCACCCCCCCAAAAAAACACACTACCTTTGGCTCTGTCAGTTTCCCCAGAATAAGGAGGCATAAACAGTGCAGCAAGTTTAGCAGAATTGAGCTGGAACAAGAGAGGCCTAACTGCCCTTGCTGTAATGGGGAGCAGCTTCCTCCTTTTTTAGAAGACAGAGGAGGGGACTGCTTGTTGTCTTCAAACAATTGATCAAGATAAGAAACAGCAGAAGATCTTCACCAAGAAGGCAACTGCAATCAGACCATAGCAATCTTCTCTGATCTGAAGCTCATTAGTCATATTGCAGCAGAGAGTAGACAGGGAACGGTTTCAGTTTTTCTGCCCCTTTCAGAGATTTTAACTCTATGACCACCGCACACTCTAGGACTTCAGCCTTCAGTTTCTTCATCAGCTCACAGGCTGCACACATGGTACCTGCACAACAGGGATGTTAAGCAGAGAGAGAGAGAGAGACAGACAGACAATCACTCCAAGTATTACAAGCAGATAAGGCACACAGTCTTAGTTCCAGCTTTAAGCTATCATTAACCACATGGTTAGAAGCATGCAAACAGGTAACGTCCGATTTTCAGAAAGCATCACACAGCGCATTGCAAAGCCAAGAACAAGACAATGGATTCCAACATGGCTTTTATTTTTTTAAGCCAAGCTGAACTCTAGTGGGCCTTAGGGCAGGGATTTCAGGTACTATAGTACAGTAATTCAGACACAGTATAAACCCCAGTTGGTTAACTGCTGCATCCCTCTCCCCATAAAGTCACAAGGACACTTTAACAAAGAGGTTCTGTCCTCTTCAAAGCAGCTTCAGCAGAGAGCACCCTGAGATAGAATGAGCAATACCAGTTACAGCACAGCTGCACATGGAGCAGACTTAACTAAGCGACTGCTCTTACCTCCAGTTGCAAGCAGGTCATCAATGAGGACCACTTTCTCTCCCGGTTCCACGGCATCGCTCTGGATTTCAAGTTCAGCCTGCAGGATTGAAAAGGCAACTTTGTTCTAGTCTCACTTTATGGAGCACTGCTTTCAAAAATGTTAGTGTGTAGCAAAATGCAGACATTACATTCATCAGCAAGAATAAAATCCTGACTTTCAGCATCTACATATACAGGCCTCGAGCTAAAGGAGATCTTTAGAGTCCCAATCATGCACGCTAACACAGTGTATTCTATTCCTTTTGTTAGATAAGCTCTCCCAGAACAGCACCCCAGATGGGACTGGAACTCCTGTATGTAATACACTGGCCTAAGCGTGCATGATCAAGACTCCTATGGTTTTGGTGCAAACAGTCCCAGGTTTCAGCCCTATGGTGTCTACAGATAGGCAGCCAGCCATGGAAGCATCTTTTCTCTGTCCTCCAAGAGAGATGAACCCATTCTACATAAGGACTGACCCATGCAATGCTTATGACTACCACAGAACTTTGTACTATGCAAGGGAAGGCTTGCCTCAACAGTATTCACCTGCCAGATACTCCAGCAGCATTAGCTAGCTAGCTAAGGCAGAATTATTAAGCTTATGCTCTCTCTCTCTCTTACAATAAGGGCCAGGCATGAACCAGCTGCTGTGCAATAAGTGTTTCCTAATTTAAAACCATTAAAAAAAGAGCATTTTACTAGAACATTTACTCAAACAAGCAAGAGTGGGAAAAAGTAATGGATATCTTCGTGCAATGCCCCCTTCTTTCCTCTTCCCTGTTCCGCTGGCCTTTGTCCAGAAGCACAGGACTTGCTGTCAGTCCTTTAACTAGGTTCCTCTAAAAATCAGCAGCCATTAGTTTTTATGTTCAGTACTATTAATAATACCTACACTCAGATTCAAGCCCCATCTAATAGCTGTCTGAACAAAGTACCTTTTCTCCAAAGATCTCAGAATAGTTTGCAAAATTAACTCTCTGTTAAGCCTCACACCACCCCTATGAGGTAGGTATTAGTCACTGGGCACAACCAGAATGGATCTTGGAATGCCTGACTCCCACTGCTGTGTTCTCATCACCAGCCCCAGAAGGGCTACAGTGGTTGGGAAAATCTCTAGCACCAAATATTATTAGATGGGCTTCACCTCACCACCATCCTCATCCCCAAAGTAGCTCAGTGATTTCAACAAACAAGACATTAGCAATTACAACAGTGTCCACCAGGTTCTCTTCTGGCTATTACCTGGCCATATTCAAGCGCGTATGAGACAGATTCTGTGGGACCCGGAAGCTTTCCCTTTTTTCGTATTAACACACAGCCAATCCCTAGTCTCTGTGCCAGAACTGGGCCAAAGAGGAAACCACGAGAATCCAGACCTATGGGAAGCAGAGCAGCAAAAATACTGTTAAAGGGAAACGGTTCAGTTTTCACTCTCTCAGCAAATCTTCAATGTTTCTGTTATCTTCCTGTACTCAAGGAGCCTAGCAGCTATTTGTACTGATTTGCAATCCCACCTACTTTGCATTGTATGTTTGTATTCACACAGAATTACTATGAAATGCAGCCCGGAACCTGGAGTTCCACATATATCACCACAGTATCTATGTTAGGAGCTCCCTCTATTAGTTTGTGAACTGGTTCTTGTCTGTACTGATAAGAAATTAAGTCTCAATATCAATTCAACTGTAGGGCCAGAAACTCAGTATCACATCAGGATGGGTTTATATCACAGCCACTAAGAACGGAATAGAGTCCACTAGACTCACTGACATTGGATTATTGTCAAATCACCCCTCTTCCATTCAGTACTTATTATTCTCAATATCCTTAAACAACGTGTTCGTTGGAATGGAACAGTTATCTCCATAAGGCACAGCTACAATTGGTCTGTAACCAGTCACTCTGAGACAAGTGGAAAAATGGAAACACAGCTTGTCTTTTTGCTATTTATATAACACTAGACCTGGCTTAAAGGCAAGTTATAGACTAAGGAAGACAGAGTAGTAATTAGAAAAGGAGTACCTGTGGCACCTTAGAGACTAACCAATTTATTGGTTAGTCTCTAACGTGCCACAAGTACTCCTTTTCTTTTTGCGAATACAGACTAACACGGCTGTTACTCTGAAACCTGAGAGTAGTAATTAACTTATATTAGCTAATTCACTGCTTACTGTTATTAAATCTTTTTAAATAAAGGAAATTATTGCCAAATGTTCATCGAGACGGTGTTTTCAACACTCAAAACAGCATGTCAGAAAACTACAGCACAAAAATAAAACCACCATCACACAAGTGTTACGTAGTTTGGTACAGAATAAAACGTTATGATAAACAGTCATAATGTTGCAATGCCATGATGTTCTACCATCTTTCCTGCCTCGTTAAAGTGGTTGTTTCTGACCTTTGCTTACCATGCAATCTCTGTATGGATGGACAGTAATGTTCTGTACTGTATTTTATAGAAGTTTCCCTAGCATTTATCATGATACCCACCCGCAATGAAGTCGATCTGTGGGTAGCGTGCCTTCAAATGAGCTTCCAAAAGATCAACCACAGTTCTGAAGGCTATAGGATCCTTTAGCAAAGGGGTGATATCACTAAAAACAGAAGAACAAAATGAGTTATCCCTGGAACCTGAAAGCTACATTACACAGATCAGAGCCCACAGTTTACCCGCTCCATGTTTAAGAAGCTTGGTTTCTACAAGTGGATTTGAGTCATCACTCCATTTCCAGGGGTTCATAATAGCTGCAAAAGGGGCTACCTACAAGATCTCTTGAAACAGTGGTTGGACTCAGCACTGAGTGAAGAAACATGTCCTATAGCTAGACAACTAGCAACTGCTGCTACGATTCCCTAAGCATTTGTATTCTAACCCTTTTTTCAGATGCTCAGACCTTTCCAAAGTGTTCACACTCCAGGCTGAGAATTTCCAGATCGTGACTATTTCTGAGGCAAAACAATTCAGATGTTTTGAAAATATGTGTGATGGAAAAATAACTTCTTATAATGAAATTCATACTTTTTTAATAAGCATGACACCGCTACAGAAAAAAAGCTGAAACAGCCCTCCTTAAGAAATGCCTTTGTTTGGGCATCTGCAAAGTGTTTTTTACTTGCCGAGATATAACCCACTGATATAACCCAGATATAAACCTGACCTATCTCAGCTACAGCTGATAAGGTGCTCAGGTAAGAACATGCTGGGAGAGAGTTTGGCCCGACTACAAAGCTACACACCAGTTCAGTTTCATAGAATGTGACTTTACTCCCATATGTAACTGCTGGCAGGACTAAGGCTTAACTTGGCTGCTCACTGACCAAGTGACTGCAGCAGCCTGCGGGTCATGGGCCGTACCCCTGAGCTCAGCTTCAGCGCACCGGGCAGAGGCTGCCTGCTTCAGAGCGTGCAGGGCAAAGGCCAGCGCAGACGAAGGACAAACCTAGGCAGGCCAAGCAGGTCTATCCCCAGCGCCAGGGCAGTAGGACTCTGCAGCTGCGCCATCCGTGTGCCAGGGCCAAACTTCACGCTGTGCCCTAGTGCGCATGCTGCATGAGTGTAATTGCACAGCGTTCCCCCCCCCCGCAACCTGTCCTGCCCCCATGTCCCTCTATCACCCCCCCAGCCCCCTTTCGCTCCCTGACCCGCCCCCTCCCTCCTCACCCCCCCAGCCCCCCTTCGCTCCCTGACCCGCCCCCTCCCTCCCTCCCTCCTCACCCCCCCAGCCCCCCTTCGCTCCGACCCGCCCCCTCCCTCCCTCCCTCCTCACCCCCCCAGCCCCCCTTCGCTCCCTGACCCGCCCCTCCCTCCTCACCCCCCCAGCCCCCCTTCGCTCCCTGACCCGCCCCCTCCCTCCTCACCCCCCCAGCCCCCCTTCGCTCCCTGACCCGCCCCCTCCCTCCCTCCCTCCCTCACCCCCCCAGCCCCCCTTCGCTCCCTGACCCGCCCCCTCCCTCCCTCCCTCCTCACCCCCCCAGTCCCCCTTCGCTCCCTGACCCGCCCCCTCCCTCCCTCCCTCCCTCCTCACCCCCCCAGCCCCCCTTCGCTCCCTGACCCGCCCCCTCCCTCCTCACCCCCCCAGCCCCCCTTCGCTCCCTGACCCGCCCCCTCCCTCCTCACCCTCCCCAGCCCCCCTTCGCTCCCTGACCCGCCCCCTCCCTCCTCACCCCCCAGCCCCCCTTCGCTCCCTGACCCGCCCCCTCCCTCCTCACCCCCCAGCCCCCCTTCGCTCCCTGACCCGCCCCCTCCCTCCCTCCCTCCCTCACCCCCCAGCCCCCCTTCGCTCCCTGACCCGCCCCCCTCCCTCACCCCCCCAGCCCCCCTTCGCTCCCTGACCCGCCCCCTCCCCAGCCCCCCTTCGCTCCCTCCCCAGCCCCCCTTCGCTCCCTGACCCGCCCCCTCCCCAGCCCCCCTTCGCTCCCTCCTCACCGGAAGAGCACCCCGGGGCAGGGGAAGTCCGGGAAGGGCCGGACCCGCTCCTCCAGCAGGCGCCGCCGCGCGCCCAGCTCCCCGCTCATGCCGCCGCGCGCCCAGCTAACCGCTCATGCCGCCGCGCGCACCGCCAGCACTGCGCAGGCGCCCCTCGGCCGGCCTAGCGCCTCGCGCTGCTCTGGGGGAGGAGGTGGAAGGGTGCGGAGGAAACCATGGCTGGAGGCGGAGGGGGGGGGAATGCGGGGGAAACCATGGCAGCTGGAAAGGGGGGAAGCGTGTATGTGTGGGGAGGGGGGGAGCCAGGGCAGCTGGAAAGGGGTAGAGAGGAAGCTAGGGGGCTGTTACTGGTGGTATGCCCCATGCCATCAGCACCTGCCCTCCCCGTGGCATCATGGGTTCACATCCGCGGGTGCCCCATGACAACGTCCCCGGGGTGTCACCTTCCACCATGGCCACCCACAGCAGCCGGGCTGACACCTGACGTCATCATGCTGTCACAGCAGCTGTGAGGTCATCGCGGCCGCACTAGGACGTCACTCCCAGCCCCTCCCTGCACCGCGATGATACCAGCAGTAGGCTAGCATTCTGGTGATGTCACACGCAGTGACCTCATGACACTGATCCCGTGTGCCACATCACCGGCCTGCCACGAGGCGCTGTCCCCCGTGAGGCCACGCTGCTGTCCGCCCCTGCCGTGACGCTGTTCACCTGTATCCTCTCTGGGCCAAGGGAAGAGCTAGTCCTACTGCAGCAGGACCTGCTGCACCACCCAAGAAGCCGCTTCAGCGGCAGAGTGTTAGAAGCAACACCGCGAGCGCCGCAGAGTCTCCGAGAGGAGTCTGAATTTGGTTTACAGGTCTGCCTGAAAAAAAAATCAGAAAAAAGAAAAAAAGTTACCAGTTATAAAGCTCAGGATGACACGTCACTTTCGCCCTCTACCAAAAGCCAGCTGTAGTTATTCAGTAACAAGCAAACCCATTCCCTGTTCTGCCACAGGCTCACCCCCGCTACATCTCTCACCCTCTCCAATGCTTGATAAAATAGGTGACTGTCACAGCACGACCTGAACATTAAGCACAGACTAGTACATCCTGGAGTATGTATTTTGTATCAGTTAAAACCTGGTGCTTCATTTGCGTAAACTGGGGGGAAAAAAATCAAGTAGAAAGTGTGAGGATGCTCAGTTCTTTAAAAAAGGGAAGGAGGAGGATCCTGGAAACTACAGGCCAGTCAGCCTCACCTCAGTCCCTGGAAAAATCATGGAGCAGGTCCTCAAGGAATCAATTCTGAAGCACTTAGAGGAGAGGAAAGTGATCAGGAACAGTCAGCATGGATTCACCAAGGGCAAGTCATGCTTGACTAATCTAATTGCCTTCTATGACGAGATAACTGGCTCTGTGGATGAAGGGAAAGCGGTGGACGTGTTGTTCCTTGACTTTAGCAAAGCTTTTGACACGGTCTCCCACAGTATTCTTGCCAGCAAGTTAAAGAAGTATGGGCTGGATGAATGGACTATAAGGTGGATAGAAAGCTGGCTAGATTGTTGGGCTCAAAGGGTAGTGATCAATGGCTCCATGTCTAGTTGGCAGCTGGTATCAAGTGGAGTGCCCCAAGGGTCGGTCCTGGGGCCGGTTTTGTTCAATATTTTCATAAATGGTCTGGAGGATGGTGTGGATTGCGCTCTCAGCAAATTTGCAGATGACACTAAACTAGGAGGAGTGGTAGATACGCTGGAGGGCAGGGATAGGATACAGAGGGACCTAGACAAATTGGAGGATTGGGCCAAAAGAAATCTGATGAGGTTTAACAAGGACAAGTGCAGAGTTCTGCACTTAGGACTTAAGAATCCAATGCACCGCTACAGACTAGGGACCGACTGGCTAGGCAGCAGTTCTGCAGAAAAGGACCTAGGGGTTACAGTGGATGAGAAGCTAGATATGAGTCAACAGTGTGCCCTTGTTGCCAAAGGCATTTTGGGATGTATAAGTAGGGGCATTGCCAGCAGATCGAGGGACTTGATCGTTCCCCTCTATTCGACATTGGTGAAGCCTCATCTGGAGTACTGTGTCCAGTTTTGGGCCCCACACTACAAGAAGGATGTGGAAAAATTGGAAAGAGTCCAGTGGAGGGCAACAAAAATGATTAGGGGACTGGAACACATGACTTATGAGGAGAGGCTGAGGGAACTGGGGATGTTTAGTCTATGGAAGAGAAGGATGAGCGGGGATTTGATAGCTGCTTTCAACTACCTGAAAGGGGGTTCCAAAGAGGATGGCTTTAGACTGTTCTCAGTGGCAGCAGATGACAGAACAAGGAGTAATGGTCTCAAGTTGCAGTGGGGGAGATTTAAGTTGGATATTAGGAAAAACTTTTTCATTAGGAGGGTGGTGAAACATTGGAATGCGTTACCTAGGGAGGTGGTGGAATCTCCTTCCTTCGAAGTTTTTAAGGTCAGGCTTGACAAAGCCCTGGCTGGGATGATTTAATTGGGGATTGGTCCTGCTTTGAGCAGGGGGTTGGACTAGATGACCTCCTGAGGTCCCTTTCAACACTGATATTCTATGATTCTATTCTGGACTAATGGCTTGTGATGCTGGCAGGCCAGATGCCAGCTCTTGTAAAGGTTGCAGGCATTAGCTAAGAACTGACAAACTCATAGCTGGTGCCCAGATCAGGTCACTGAATGCATCTGATGAAGTGAGCTGTAGCTCACAAAAGCTTATGCTCAAATAAATTGGTTAGTCTCTAAGGTGCCACAAGTACTCCTGTTCTTCATGCATTAGTGTTGCTCGAAATAGGTATTCGTTTTATAAGAACATATTTAGTGTTTAGACTGTATAGAATGTTTGTAAGTTGCAGCATGTATTAATCTTATTTGTAATGTCTGTATTTTACCAGGCTATAAGGAAATATATAAGTTTTGCTTGATAACTTTGAAAATGTTTGTTTTAAATGTGTGAACTCAGATGGGAAGAGTGTTTCCCCCTGCCAGAAGAACTACCAAAATCAGAGGGGCCATCAAGGAGCATCGCAATACAAAGGATTGGTGAATGGCCCTATCACACCTTGGAAATGCTACACGCAAGGAAGTTCATCCTATGGACTTGGAGGCTGAATGAAGGAAATAAAACAGACACACGGGAAAATTTTCCATATCTTTGTTGTTGAACAGGGCTAGACACACTAAACTGAAGCGAGAGATCTCCGTGGGTTACCCCTGGTCTGCCCTGAAAGACAGATCACTACAACTCTGGCACTCTTCAGATTTAGATTGCAACTCCTCTGTGTACACGTTTGCATGCTTTAACCTGTAAATAATTCTCATTTCTTTTTCCTAGTTAATAAATCTTTTATGTTAGTTTATTACAGGATTGGCTAGAGGTGTGGTCTTTGGTGTGAGATCTAAGATACAAAATGATCTGGGGTAAGTGACTGACCTCTTGGGCCTGGGAGCAACCTGAATATTTTGTGATTTTTGGTGTAAGTGACCATTTATCATTTATCACTAAGTCTAGCTTGCCTGGCTGGCAAGCTAGACTGGAGAATCTAAGGGGACCGTCTGTGACTCCATGGTAAGACTGTTACAGGGATCCAGAAGTTCACATCTGTCACCAACAGTTTGGAATTTTTGCCCTGCCTCTTGACAGTCTGCCCTGAGATTGGTACTCACTGTAGTGAGCCACTCCAAACAGCTTGACATGATTCAGCACAGCAACTGTTATCAGCCCATCACAGGGCAGAGCATCTTGACAGACTTTTAACTCCTGTTTCTTCTGCAGCACCTTCAAACATCAGTTAACTAATACAAAGAACATATTAGGCAAGAGACTTACAGCTGAAGTGTTTAGAGATTTCCTATTGTACGGACAACAAACCTATTGAATGGCCAAAAGATGGTCCCTGGGCAGCCTAGAGCAATGACGGGTCCTAGTAGGCATGGCTCCCTTGCTGATCCTAACTTGCCATCATCTTTGCAGCCTTAGGCAAGTCCCACACTTTAAAAAACACACAATATCTATGGCGTATGTTGTCCATGTAACAGAAAATACTACAAGTGTGCAGCTGTACAACAGAGAGCTGAGCAACAGCAATCCTATTGAATTCCCAGGAGCAGGTGGGTGCAAGCCGCCTGCAACATTAGAAGGCCCCTCACTCAGCCTAAAGGGAGGAGCCCCTAAACCCAGGGTTCAAGTAAAGGTGGGGAACAACAAATAATTAAACAGGGACAGGAATGAAGGTCACAGGGTCAAAAGCAGGGAGCCAGAGGGGGACACCAAACAGAGCACCCAGGACAGGGCCATCTTGGCCAGTGCCAGGAAGGGGATGAGGAGGAGGTCCCGTGACTCTGTGGGGCCATGGATGGGGTGTGCATAGAGTAGGAGGTGTGGGGAGAAGTGCAGCCAGAACCTCAGGAGAAAGTTCTGTAGGAGCCATAAAAGGGGCTGCAGCCTGGCGCACTCGAGGTCGACGTGTGCCAGGGTCTCCCCCATGCCACAAAAGGGGCAGGTGTCGGGGAGGAGGCTGAACCGCCCCATGTACACGCCCGTGCTCGCAGCTCCGTGAAGGAGCCGCCAACCGGTATCCCCGGCAGGCTGCAGGACCAGGGCAGAATACAGACTGGCCTACTGGGGCTGCTCACCCTGCACAGATGGCGGGAGGTCCCGCCCCTTGGTGTCGGGGTGGGTCATGAGGGTGAGGAAGTGAAAGGCATGGAGCATGAGAACGTACAGCTGTGTTCTACGTGTGGTTCAGAAACAAACTGGCTGCAGGTCATGCAGGGGGAGCGGCCAGGGGAAGGAGGACTCGTGGGGCAGAGGCCCGATGACAAGATCCAGAGGGCCAGGCGTGAAGGACAGGCAGGGAACATCCTCCCACAAGACCCACCCAAGGAAAGCCCGAGGGGTGGGTGGTAAGGCTGCCCTCTCCTCCTGGAATACGTGCCAGGGAACATGAAGGGTGGAAAGCCTCATGTGTCGGCCAAGCCCCAGGGGACCCCCCTCAGTCATAGACCAAGAAGTCTCCAATCTGGGTGGTACCTGCCAGGACCAACCTCTGGCACACCAAGGGGGACTCCACCACCTACACACCAAGTTGGGAGTTGTATAGCAGGGACTCTGCCAGGATGTGAGGGTCACAGGGTCAAAAGCAGGGAGC